CTGAAAGGCTCAAAAAAAACCTTAAAAAACTTTTTTTTAAGTTAGTTTTTACACTCACGTAAAGGTGTGCCTGTACCAGATAAAGATCTAATACGTCCTATCTTACTGGGCAATTCCTAGCTGTATCAGCGACCCTGTGACCTTGTATGACCATAAGTTGTATATGCACTAGGGGATAGAAGGAATAGTTAAAAACAACTATTGAAGTAGAAGCAGAATTAGTGAATTCAGTTTTCACTGTTAAACTGCTACACAAATATGAGACTAACTGGTACAAATGAAAGATCTGGGAAAGAATCCTTGGCTGAGGATGTCTCTCTGGTCCCTGAAGAGATACACAGCTTACACAGGTATGATTCTTCATGCACAGATTTGGAATCTAAGTGCAGTCCTTTTTTCTGGCATAGCTTTGGGTGACAGAGAAAATTTATTGTACATCCCAGTAAAAAAAAAAAAATCCAAACAACTACCAGTTGGGATGTAAGGAAGGACTTTCTAGGCAAAGGCATCCATTCAGTATCTAAAGCTAAGACACAGGAGGACTCTTAAGATGGTTCTAGCATTTTATGTTTTTTTGTCAAAAAGTAGAGTGTTTTACTCTCTCAAGTAAAACAGCTTTAAAAGAGATAAATACATTACTTGCAGATTTTTTTTCTGTGAAACAATACTTACAACCTGAATCTGAGAGCAGTGAGCTGGACAAAAAGCTGTTCTGAGTTCGCCAACTAGAAGAGGGAGCAGCCACTTCTGTATCAGAAGTTTCAGCATCCATTTTCACGTCCTATGGCAGCCAAATAAAAACAATTTTTATCTGTTAATATCAAGCAGCTGTAAACTTTAACAAAAACCATACAGCAGGCCATATACAGATACATGCTGTGATTTCACACATGTTGGAGAATACTCATCTGAATTCTCAGAATTCTCAGTATTGCAGTTAGGTTTAAATTAATTTGCATACCCATTAATTTAATGCCCATTTTGTCATTACAAAGTCTCTGCAAAAAACTGCTTTGCCTTGAGAAAAGCATTGGGAGCACTGGAAGTTTTTGTCACTACACTAAGCTGTAAAAATGCTCTCTTTCCTGTTTACATCACATCCACAGTTCAGGACAAAGCATAGCAGCAGGGCAGACATCAGTGAATGATGAATTCCTCATCAATGAACGGTCCACATTAATTCACTGAAGTCCCACAAGTAAGTGCTAATAAAAATGAAATCCATTTTCCTTGATGGCAGGGAAACTCAAACTTCATTGATTTTTCATATCAAAATACCTGAAGTTGCTTTTCCACTTTTTTGTTAAACCATTAAATAAAATCTGTAGTACAATGTTACTATTTATGGCTAAACCCGTACAGCATAGCTTTTTGGTGAGTAAAATCATTTGGTCTATAAGCTAAAAAAAAAAGATCATTTTAAAAAGGCCATTTACACAAAAATCTCTGTAAATCTTTATTAACACAGCAGCAAGTAGTCCCCAGTTGCAATACCTTCCAAAAGAAGATTAAAAGCTTGGCGTGGTATCCAAATTACTCATTTTCTTGAAATGAGAAGAGATAATGCACAAATGCATCAGTTCATAACACTCAGTTTTGCTACTGAATTCTTATCACAAACAGCCTGAGGGAATTTTGTTAAAGCATCTTGCAATTTATCATTCATGCTGATACTAAGATTTGAAAACTAAACAGAAAACAAAATGAAATTCAACATTAATTTAGAGATACAATGAGTTTTTGTCCCATCACTGAAGGGGGATTTACTCCTATTAGGACTAATGGGAATTATACATATTAATCCCCTTATGTGCTGATGAGAGACTTAATACCTAAAATGTACATAGCACAATAACAACTTTTAAAGAATAGAAAAAGTTTTTGTCTTTTCATTCTGCTTCCAGAAATGCTATCTTAGAACAGAGCTTTTAAACAAGCAAGGTGCTTCTACCAGCACCTGACATACAAAATAGCTTTCTCTTTAGAGAAATTTTAATTTACAGAATGTGCCTTTTCTCATGTGCTTCATTTACAGTTACATCTGTATGCTGTGTTTGACTAGATGGTCAGTTGTTCGTGGCAGGGAAACTGCCCTAAAATATTTGCATCTATCCATCATAACTTTTATGTTTAGTTTTTCTCTAGCTTTCTCTTTTGATTTTGCTTCAGTTCATATTCTCTACTATTTTATTTTTGTACATTGTATTTACCTTCTTTTTCCCCATTTCCTTCTTTCTCGACTATCACTCCACCCTTCCTTAGTTGAAAAATCACCATTGTTGTACTTGATGATATTCTGCCAGCTTCTGGCCTCCTTTATTACTGAAAATCTTACATTTTAACACATGCAGATAGCAATTATGATTTTCCTGGGCTTCTAAGCAACAGGTATTTTACAGCCATCTGCCAAGACTACAGAGGAGTCAGAAGACTGAGCGGGGACAAATTAAATCATAAGGAAGGAAGAAAAATAACTGCTTTTAGGGGAGCATTCAACTTTGGTTTCATTTTTGCTCCTTAAAATGAAAAGAGGCTAGGACACAGGATTAGATAATGCCTGTCTGAGATTAATGTTGGCAAGCAAGCTGAAAGAAGTATATTACAAGAAAGGCTAGAAAGATGATCATAACAGAGGAGAAAGATTAATTCCACAAGTAATTTTATCTAAAATGGTCAATGTAAAAATTTTACAAGAACTCCCTTTTTTTAAAACATGCGTTTTATTATCACCTACCAAATATGTCTACAGAAGCACTACATTGTGTACAGAGCATGAATCAAAACTAGCAGAAAGAATGAACTTTGATGTCTTCAAAGCCTACAATCTTCCACCAATCAATTTTAGAGACTCCCAAATGACAAGCAGTAAAATAAAAAAAAAATTAAACAACAATGCATTTGAGTTAGTTCCAAGCAAGGATAAGAAAGGCAAGCATTAAAAAGGGGTTTTTTAGACTATGCTAGCCTGATCACTGAAATCAGATTAGCACCCGTCTGTTACTTGTTTTTGAACATTCTGTTCTACTTGTAACAGCCGTGACAGCAAAGAGTACTGTATGTCATGCAAAAACCTAATTAGGCCTGACTAAATGGGAGCCATTAAATGCTCTCTGTTGTATAAAGAAAGAGGAAATATTGTTTTGGAATCAGATTTATACTGGATTCTGAATATAGAGTTCAAATCATGTGAGCTCAGTAAATTCAGTCAGCTTAGTGCAATATTATACTCTACCGTCAGCTGATTGCATTCCACTTAGCTTTTCAATGTTTTCCAAATTTCAGTGATTACTGAATCAGTAACTCTTGTGTGAAGGCAAGAGAAATTCAAGAAAATTAAGATTATCGTTAGCAACAAAGTCAATCTGCCCTGCTTCTTCCTTTCAGTTCTTTGTTACAGAAGAGAAAGACGGCTTTTTCAAGTAGCTTAATACCTTCTTCTTACAACAGTAACTTACTAAGCTAAAATACGCTGTATTTAATTTACCTTTTCCACTTTTTAAGAGACCTATGGCAAGTATGTCCTCATTTTACAGAAGGAAGACCACTATGGAGGAGGTGGAGAACGCAAAGAACTTGAAGTTTTTTGATACGTGGTGTGTGATCCTAGATTTTGAGCTCAACTGCTTAGACACTAGTAAGATTCATTGCCAAAGAATTTAGATTTGATTGTGATGAGTAGCAGAAATACTAGCATGATTCTTCAGTTCTGATCAGTTATTTCAACCACCATCCATAAGAAACTGTAGTTCTGCCGAAGTAAGCTGTTATCACAATGACACACAGTGAGAAGTGATATGACAATGAACAAGCTAATATGAAGAAAGCAAGCATGTTAACAATTGGAAAGGTGAACTCATTGCAGGCAATGTTTCTAAACAAAAGCACTGGATTTGTATTGCAGGGAGTTAGGAAATTATGCTTAGCCCTTCTATCAGTCGGCTGAGTGACCTTTAACAAATCACATCCCCTCTGTTTGCCTGGATTTTGTTTATGTATGAGACATCATACGGTATCTTCGTAAAGAATGCAAAGATCAGCTACTGAAAAATCACTATACATGATCTACAAATTAATCATCCTTTTAATGGAGGAAACTGGTTTCTATATTTATCTTTTACATGAAGGGACAAGGGAAAATTGAACAAACCAATCAAAAAAATTGTTGTAGACAGCAATTTGACAAAGCAGGTAAACACTTCACAGTAGCAAGACACAGTAAGACACTTCTCTCTGAAATGTTAAAGACTTTTGGAAGGTATCTGTGGCACTTTACAATGAAGACAACACTTCTGTCATCAAATTTTACATCAGACATAGCAGCTACATAAACCAGAAACGTTTGTGTGTGATTTTAGTCTGTGTTCGTACTAGGTGTTAATATACATCAAATAAACTTACGTTGCTGATTGAAAGTAATTGGGAAACAAAAATGGAGTACACACACACCTTAAATTGTTGGACTCTCTGTTTTGAATCTTCCAGCTGTTGCTGTAGAGAACTCACTATTTCTTTATACTTTGTATATCTTTCCTCAATCATCTCCCTTCGGCAATGGGAATCCTAGAAATGCATTGAAAGATCTAAATGATTTCATAATGTGAAAAGCAGTTCTAACTTTCAGAGACTGAAATACAGGGGCCATACAAAAGCATAATGTTCTGTACAGAAAAGTAATGTTAAAATGAAAACAGGTTAAAATGTAAACAGCTTTATCCTTTGATATCCAAGAATGATTTCTTGTATCTCTTTCCAAAATTCAGTAATATCATACCTTCTAATAAAGAAATTCTATAATGGTGAAAAATTAATTACAATACTGTAGAAGCAAGCACTTGAAAAAAGTGTTCTATGGACTAAAGAGTATTTTCAAATAAGAAAACGTAACACTTCTCACTGAACCAGCAAATGATTCACCTGATTGTATACAACTGCCAGACAACTTATGAGGCATTATCAAAGATTTACCTTCTCTTTCCTTCTCCCTTTCTAAGAAAACATTGAGGGAAGAACTTGCTAGCAGTCGAAAGTAACGAATGGCTTTGAAATAATTCATTCATGCATACCACTTGAGAGTAAAATATGCTATCATACAAAAAAAAAATCAAATGTATTTTTTTCAAATAGAAGAATTAATGAAACTCCAAACTGACATCATCCTCGCAGCTAAGGTATAAAGCTTAGCTCTTCTGAATAATAAATTATTTATTAAACAACACACAGTTGTTGGTAGGGACTCATCTTAAGAAAACAGTCTTTAAAAAACTGTGTCAGGGAGAAGGACAGAGCTCAACATAAACCAAAGAATTTGGGTTCCAATCTCAGAAATGCTGGCTAAGTGATAAATACAGCAAACCAGAAAATGACAATGTCATTTTGCCGTAATGTTAAGCAAGAGAGTGCAAGTACGAAGGAGATTGTATAAACCCCGCATTCAAGTTTCTGCTTTGCCTAGCTGAGAGCAGAATTCTTCCTTTAGCAGTGTGGAACCATGAGAAACAGAAGGCAAATATCAACCTCTGCCAGAGCAGAAAGTTCTGGGGATACCTGGAATGTGAAATTAAAACTATACATCTCAACATCATTTTTCTTAAAACAACCCCAAACATTTCAATCAGCATTTGTGTTCCTAACTCTGTTGATAATGACAGCAATAAAATAGTCACAATTATTAACACATGACCTCATGTAAGAACACTTAAAACAATGTTCCAAACAAGTACGTTTTGAAATGTTTATGACTACCTCAGGATTAGAAATTCTATACAGCCAATAAAATGCAGATCATTGTGCATTTATTATGTGATTTAATACTGATTTCAAATTATAATGTGCAATAAGGTTCCAAATTATTTTTTAGTAAACCACCAACTTCATGTATAGAAAGTAATAATAATAATATAGTGGTTTGGCCACTTAGCAACCAAAGATCTAATTTGAGGCCTCTCACTCTGGACAGTACTCCACCACTACTGTCAATATGTCCCACTGTGTCCAAAGAAACACACCTAGATACTGGGAAAATAAGTGACAATTATTGGTATTATGTCAAAACAAACAAACAAACAAGCCGTAAAGCTCACCTATTTACACTCATTACTTTAAATATTGAAATAACTGGCATAATTTATTTCATTACAAAATTCTCATTTTTTAACAAGTAGTATCAAAATTCACCACTCAATACAAATATTCTGAACCAGTACTTAGGACCTGACCTATTATTATGCCCAGTTATCAACATTTGCTTATATTATAGAGCGCCTCAGCAGTGTTACTAATTAGGACTAACTAGGAACCTCAAAAAAACCATCTGTATAAACATGAAAATAAACTTCTGTATGTTTCATCTACATAATATGCACATATGTTATTTTAAAAATCTTATTAACCAATTTATCTATAAACATGGAGAGGACATTAATTAACCAAGATATTTTAGAACTACTGAAAGAGTCAAATGAAAGCTTTCTCACTCCAATATCTTTGTAATCTTCTAACAGGTTCAGTTTCTCAGGAACAGACTCCAGATGGTCTAAAGCTACCCGAGTACTCTAAAGAACAGAACACAAAATAAAACATAAAAAATTAAGCAGCTCTTTCAGCCATCTCAAACATTAAAAACCTATTACATCTATAGAAACAGGTTTATAGGTATGTATGTGCCTGTAAATTAAACAGGTCAACAGTAAACAGGCTGTTAAGGAAAAAAGGACAAAATAAAACACAGCAGTTTCCCTAATTTGAATCTCCAGGAATAGATACCCGTTTATTGAGCAGAACAATACTTATTTACAATTTTGGAGTTTATGTAGCTTTTAGAATGAAATTTTCTTTTATTGCACTTCAGGGAGTAAAGTACTTTTAAAAAAATATAAATCTATACTCACAATGTTTATATCTTTGTAGTTAAATATATAGTAAAAGCGTCCTTTGGTTTTTTGCAAATACAAAATATGTGCAGTTAGCACTTAGCTAAATATAGAACAATCAAATTTCATATTTTTGGTTTAGACATATGGTATGCACTGCTGAAAGATGAATTGCCACTCTAGGGAGAGTTAGGGTTGGACTCAACAACAAGATTTCACATCCACACCCGTGACAAAAAAATCTGATCTATAGCAAGATGCAAAGAACTGAAAAAAATTAGTATCACATTCTGGGTTTTTTGCACAGGTGAAGTTGGTTGGTCATGCATGAAGAGAAGTCATGGCCCATAAGCCAGATGCCTCCGGAGCTTCTCAAAGGCTGCCTTTCTATTATTCGCTGAAGAGCAAGTAGCAACAATATTGTTTGTACTTTCTGAATAACAGTTGGTATTTCCCCCACAATTCTATAAATCACACTTCTTTGGACGAGGTTTTGTTAACCTGGTATGCAATTTACCAATAATGGGCTTCATTAGCCATATTACTGCCCTGGCACTTTAAAGCAAAAATCTGTACAACAAATAACAATCCTTAAGTCAAATATCATTATGCAAGCAAAAGTCTGTGGAAACAGAGTTAACTTGCCCTTAACTACAAAAGCCCTGTTGCTAGTCTTGGAAAGTCTCAATCTGACCGACACGAAAAACATCCCATTTAGATCCCAGACTTAAGACCTGAAGAGACTAAAACTTTCAATCACACCAGGATAAGAAAAATCAGTGGGAACCTCTCAGCACAAGTGCAGTCTACTCCAGAAAGCTGTGTATCACATAAAGCTCCCTGACAACCTTCAAAAGGAACCCAATGAGTCAAGGCTGTAATAGTGTACTATGCTGGGTATAACAAACTATGAAACATCAGTAGTATTAGCAAACAATAACAATTATTTTTACCAATGATTAATACTGAAGGAACTGTCTACAGGCTTCATTGTTATAAAAAAAAGTGTATATCCATGTAAGCTAATTCCTTAGAGAAGAATGTGATTCTTTAAAAGCATAGCTTGTTAGTATATTTCTCTAGCTAAAAATCAATCACATAAATGTTTATTATAAAGCTGAAATGGGAGAAATAGGAATGAAATGAAAACGCATGTGAGGAGGCAGCTTAGGTAACAACATCAATATCATCATAATAATATTTTATTACTAATCTTAATCACATTACAAATAGAATGGATATTATATATCATATATTTACTGTATATTGTATATCCATGTAATAGATGCATTAATAATTTAGTAATATATATTACTGAATTTTTATTTATATATTAATATGTATCATATGCGTTATATGCCATATATATTGTACAAGAGCATACAAATAGTATATATTTATATATTATCATACATTAATAACAGTATTATTAAAATTACTACTTCTACTGCTACCATGACTGTCTAGTGACCACAGATCTTTTTTCCTACGCACTGCTATTAATTATATAGACAAGCAGTTACCTGCACAATGAACAAGCCATTTGTAAGTAATATTGCAAATTACAATAACATGATATATGAAAAGCCAGTGTTTTGCTTTGAACCAACCACTTGCTAGCTTAATTACATGCTCTCCCACTCAAAATATAAGAGAGTCTACAACCCATCTCTATTCACCTTCTCCATGCAACTTCTCATTTTACAGACCTCTTGCAATCTTTTCCATTCATATCTTTTTCAGGCTGAAGAGTCCTAGTATACTTAGTTGTTCCTCATGTGGAAGAAGTTTCAGGCCTTTGATCACTCATGTCTTGTGTAGCCTCTCTAGTTCTGTGGTTTTTAAGATAGAGAGGGGGAGAGAGGAGTGGAGAACCAGAACTGAACAGAGTAACCTAAGTGCAGACACACCATCAATTCAGAAGCAATGATGTCTGTCGTCTTGTCTGCTTTTTTTGTAGCAGTTCCAAATATTCAGTTTTTAACACTGCAAGAAATATGCTTTCCATAACGAATGAAGGTCAAGTCTCATAAACAATGGGATTAATTTGCATCTCACAGGGCTGAACTTGTAATCAATATTCAGGTCCAATAAACTAAATTAGGTCGTGGACATACGACTGGTTTTTCTGTTCCTGTCACTATATGTACTCAAAAATATTATGTATGTAAAAGTATTTATCTAATTTTCTGTAACTAGGAAAAATTTGTACTGGCAGTTAATATGCTGACAATATTAGGACCTATTTCTACAAAACCAACACATGGTTAAAGCAGTTTTCCAGATATTTGGGTTCTTTTTCCTTCTGAGACTAATGAGGTATCTCCCACCTTCTACGAATAAGCTTTTACACTGAGTTTGTATGCTTAGCTAAAAAAGGTCTTTCTTATCCCACTGTTACATTCTGCAGTAGAAATGAAAGATGCCATAGGAGAAATATATTCCAGAATTCCAAAATCTGGCCCTTTTTTCCAGGATAATTTCTACTCTTCACACAGCACAGAAGAGAACAGAATACATTGCAGTCAAAGGTGCTAGAACAATAACTCCACTATGACAGGTAAGGGGAAAGTATTTTACAAGAGGGTTGGATTAATTGTTGCTTCAAGAACAATAGGAAGAGAAAGAAGCCTACAAAATGGGGTAAAAGGATTGACCAGCAATTAAGGATGTTCTGGATTTCAAGAAGTACAGGAAGAACTGTCAGAAGTGCAACAGAGTAAAACGAAGATTATTTAGTCATTTAGCAAGAAGAAAATAGAAATGAGACAGGGAAAATAAGGTGGAGATAATTTAGGTATGAACCACAAAAATGATCCGAGGGCTGGAGCACCTCTCCTATGAGGATAGGCTGAGAGAGTTGGGCTTGTTCAGCCTAAAGGGGGCCTATAGGAAAGGTGGGGACAATCTTTTTAGTAGGGCCAGCTGTGACAAGACAAGGGGTAATGGTTTTAAACTAAACCAGGGTAGGTTTAGACTAGATATAAGGAAGAAATTCTTTACAATGAGGGTGGTGAAACACTGGAACGGGTTGTCCAGAGAGGTGGTGGAGGCCCCATCCCTGGAAGCATTCAAGGCCAGGTTGGACGGGGCTCTGAGCAACCTGATCTAGTTAGCGGTGTCCCTGCTCACTGCAGGGGGGTTGGACTAGATGACCTCTAGGGGTCCCTTCCAACCCAAAATATTCTATGATTCTAAGATGAGTATTTTTGCTTTTCTTTTAACACATCCATTTTGTTAGATTTTAAAAAACATACAGGAATGATACAAGACTAAATACATGAGTTATGCCTGGAAGAGAGGTAAATCACTTCCTGAAATGGGCAGCACTGAGGACACCCAGTACGAAAAAGTCCTTAATTGCAATGTTGACAACTGACCATGGCAAATGCTGGAGAAAGCCTGGAAGGACAGAAAGGTGCATGCTTGTGCAGACTTCCAGTGAATGAAGTAGGAGAAATCAGTTTTGCAAAACTCAAATTCAGAATTAATAAAGGTTTGCTCTTCTAACAAGAAAACAGTACTTCCTTCTTTCTCACCGGCTACACAAGAAAAGTTAAGTAGATTTCACACTTAGCTAGCTGTCTTTGGACCAAAACTAAAATTTATTGTATTATCTTCATAAGAAGTCTTGTATTTTAATGTGTAATTTAATTTGCAATCAGGATTTTTTTACTTGCAAAATTCACCTAAGACGATTTTAAAAGGGGAAAAAAAATTACTTTTTCTGTAACATATCCAGTTCTCTACCAGAAAGAGTTACAGAACATGCAGTTATATACTAATAATGCATGTGTAAAATGGATTCTTCATATTTTCAGGATTAAATTAGACAGGAGGCCTACATATTGTTTTAAGGGTTTTTTTCCCCACAAATTATAGAGTAGAAATGTTTTTATAGCTATAAAATAACTTTTTTTCCCAAACGCTACTATACATCTCCACTTGAAAGTAAAATTGCCTAGTGTTATCTATCAATCTCTAATGTTTCCTTCTTATAAGAATCAACCATTTCACTTACAACACAGTAAAGCAGTATTCATTCATGTTTCATTTATAATGGTCTTATGTTCATCAAAGCATTGATTTTCCACTCCATTAAATTATGATGAGATGCAATGTTTGCTGCTTCTTCCCAGAGTAGCCCCTGGTACTGGTCTGCATCTGTGTTTCTATGGCTGGGAAATGTATGAGACACAGCACACCCTAAGCAATCCAAACTTAACTATACATGAAACAAAATCTTGAATCCTAATGTTCAGCAGTCATCCTAGTATCACAAATGTGTGGACATATATCCACAAAGGTGTTTTTTTTTTTGCTTTGAACACCAACAACTCCCCTACACCTTCAGAAATAAAATCCTTCCTCACAGAAAATAACCCCAAAATTGTAACACTCAATCTCTCTTCTTGGTCCAGCATCAAATTAAGCCATAAATATTGTAGCTTATGGTATATATTACTTAACACATTTTGCTAAAGTATTTTACTTATGAACTGCGGAAAAATACACATTTGAGATGTCACACAGAGTTGAAATAAAGTTGCCTGAGACACAGAACACATTAAATGTAATGCCCTCTATTTATGTATTTTTGTGGGGGGAAAAGAAAAAAAAAACAAAAACTAGCTGTGCCTCAGCTAGTGCTCATTAGTTACATTATTAAATGTAATCTTGAA